CATCACACAAATTACATCAAATCATTACATCATTACATCAAATTGTGAGGCCCCTTCTGGAATACTGCGTCCAAGTGTGGAGCCACCAGTACAAAAAAGACAGGGAGATGTTGGAGAGGGTCCAGAGGAGAGTCACGAAGATGATCAGGGGACTGGAGCATCTACCCTATGAGGACAGGCTGAGGGAGCTGGGCTTGTTCAGCCTGGAGAAAAGAAGGCTGCGGGGTGACCTCATTGCAGCCTTTCAATACCTAAAGGGAGCCTACAAAGAGGAGGGGAATCAACTCTTTGAAAAGGTTGATACGTGTAGGATGAGGGGAAATGGTTTTAAGTTGAGAGTGGTGAGGTACTGGAACAGGCTGCCCAGAGAGGTTGTGGATGCCCCGTCCTTGGATGTGTTCAAGGCCAGGTTGGATGGGGCCGTGGGCAGCCTGGTTTAGCATTAAACGTGGAGGTTGGTGGCCCTGCATGTGGCAGTGGGGTTGGAGATTCATGATCCTTGAGGTCCCTTCCAACCCTGGCCATTCTGTTATTCCGTGACAAAAGCAAATTAGGAATACCTATATCCAACAGCCATATTGCTGTTCTCTCTCACTAGAATAGTATTCAACATGTACAAAGACAGGCCAAGTCAGGCACAGAGAGTACCCTGACAGAACTGCTCAACACACTGAATTCAACAACATTTCAGTGGTTACATTTATTTTTCTTAAGTAGTGTCTTTCCGCTTTATATTTTTAATCAGCTTTGTATTTTAAACCTATTTCACACAAGTTCATGCAGAAGTCAAGTCAGTAAATAAGTTATGTACATCTCTGATTCCTGTCTTCTTTTCAAACTATTGGTTATTTTAACTTAAAACTGAAATAATGTATTTTTTTCAATTCAGCACAGAAAACCCTAAGAACATCAGAGCAGTAAAGTCCAATTATTGTCAAAACGCTCAGGAAAAAAAAAAAAGAAAAAAAAAAACCCTACCTTCTTCATGCAGCCCATGATCACAGATAAGAATTAAAACTAACAGAGAAAATATGAAGAGTTTGCCACCATACATCATGCATAACATCTGATTCTCAAGCCAAAATAAACAACACAGGCTAAAGAGCCCACAAATGCTCTGAAAGGTAAACACGGAGAATGTTTAAGGGTTTTTCAAAAATCACTGTAATAGTCTCTTTCTGATAGTCTGTGTCTATCTGTGAAGTCTGGCTGATAATGGAAAAAGATGTCAACACCCACTGGATTATGCCTTTGCTCATGGTTTTAGACTACTTTGCACAGTGACTGCCTAAGAACTAATGCTTATTTTATTGACTCACTAATACTACAAATCTTTTCTGTAAATTTAAAGAAATAAACCTGTCAATCCTTCAGCTTGCCTTTTTCCCTCCGTAGAATTTATAACTGCATGACTCCAATCTGGTTTTTCCTTTACTTGCCCACCTCTAAGATAAAACTCTACCACCAGAATGCAGCTGAAATGAAAACAAACCAATCCCAGTCCATTCATAGTCACCTGAGTAGCTGCCTGTGAACACATCATGTCTTTCCCAAGCAAGCAAGAAATGGGCCGTGCATCTCTTCAGGTTGCAATTCTACATCACAGCAATGACTTCTAAAGTGTTGTTAGCTCACATAAGAAGCACCAGTAAGAGTAAAACCAACATTCTACAGTGCCTTGTACACGAAGGAAAATGTTAAGGGTTATGTCTCAGGTCAGACAAAATTTCTGCATATCTAAACAAACAGCTAGCTAGCCCACACATATGTTTTCTGTATGTTCAATAAATCATTATATGAGAAGAATTTGCCGCTTCATTCAATAGCTGGCATATATAACCAGTGAATACATATGACAAATGAGCACAGAATGCCAGCAGGATAAAAAAAACTGAAAGTCAGATCAAGCACCACACCGGCACACATAAAACAATTTGTCCAATAAAATCGGCCAGATAAGGCAAAATGGCATTACCAGACCGAGATCCAGAACAACAGAAAATACACATGGGACTGGAAGACAGTTGTAGAAGCCGTATCTCTACCAAAGACACCACAAAAAAAAGATATCTTCAGTACCATTCAACAACAGCAGCTGAGTGATCAAATGTTTACCTGAGAGTGACACCTTAATAATTAGTTTTAAAGAACCTGTTTTTCTTTCTGCAGCATTCATTGAGCTCCAGGTTATCTGAAAACCAAGAAACTTAGAAATGACCCTACCCACACACCAGTAGTGATTGCAACCATTGCTTACAGAAACACAACACCCAAAAATGTACTTCTCTTTCTAGGTTTTCTAATACAGTTTACCAGGTAGAAACAAATTAAGAGGATGGTCTAGGCAGCAAAACTATCTCTGCTGTATGGACAACCAGGAAATGCTGTGAAAACAGAACTAAAATGCCACAATTTCTCTAATACTATAACCACTGTGATAGATAAAAACCTTTGAAATGACTTCAAAATCAAAAAGTATCTGACAATTTTTGTCATGTATAAATACATCTCAAATGCAATTGAAAAAATATTGCTGCAAATATCATAACATTTGAATATTAATTGCAGCTGGAAAGGATCTTCTAGCAAAGCATAACTGATTTTAAACCTCAAGAAATCACAAATTTGATGGCATCTAAATTGCAAACAGCCTTTAATGAATTAATGAACATTTCCACTATATAAGCAATAAGTAAAGTACCTCAGAACTTTGCTAATTTTCACATCAATTACCTACAAACCAGAGCCTTGTGATCAAGAAACCACAGTGGTCTCTTCCAACTTCCCAGCAAGAGGCTTATTAAGAGCACACAGTTGTGAGATGTCCTGTTATCAAGACATTTACCACACACTGTACTGGCCAGTTAGTATCATATTATGAAGTAATTAATAACACCTACACCCATACAAAAGAGCAGATTTGCTCAGTTCCTAAATAAATAAAAAAAAATAACAAACAAGAGAGATGGGTTGAAATCTTTTCATTAGTAGAGAATGTTAGAAAATGTTTTACTAACAAAATTCTGAAGTCTCTGAGCCCAAAAAATTTCTAAGGACCACATAGTCCAAAGAAAAAAAAAAAAGGAGTCTACATAACATGCGTCAAAAGGTGGATTCTCCTTCTGTTTAAGTTGCACTTAATAGCCCCTCAGAAAGTGCTAGAAATTAAATGAACTAACCACACCAGTGGTAGCTTGCTTTTTTTTGAAACTGTCTTGTGTTTTTAAATACAGAAAAAATATCTGCAGGTATCCTGACAAAATAGTCACACAGTGGATCTTCCAGATTTCAACCAGAACTCAGGACACACTCACAAAGGCCATTTCTTTTCACCTGGGATTTCCTCTCCCGCACCTAGGAAATGGCTGTGCTGTTACCATAATTAATACATTTGTTCATACTGAAAAAAAAGTAAAGTAAATTTAAAAAAAAAAAAAAAAAAAAAGAAACTGAAAAAGAAGGAAAAAGGAATGAAAAAAACAGAACAAGCCTGCACAATGTGCACGTGTATGCACACACACCTACACAGTATCAACAGGTCAGTGCAACTGCAGATGGTGAAGACCTTGAGAGAAATAAGTAATGCCTCGTAAGTTTAATCCTGGGTATTTAACACGGAAGGTTTTCAGAGGAAAATCATAGATGCCTGATAGCGTGTGTCAGCCAAAGATGATGTAAGAGACTATGCTGGAGTTCCCGTTTCATACCACCTGACCTCAGTCCACCAGGAGACCTTTCCATGCTCACCAGATTAGTCCACTTTGTATTTCATCCATCTGAGCCTGGGGGTTGGGTATATATAACTGACCTTGATATCATCTCTCATTTCACATAAATCAGATCTTGCAGCACACAAGATCTCCTGAATAGGTTGCATGTTATTTTTAATCCCATCAGACTCTAGCATAACACACTACCACACCTGAGCCCAACAGGGATGCAGGACCAACAAGATCAACAGAATGGCCATGATACACGCTTCTGCCTTTAAAGACAGCAGCACGGGTTAGGACTGTATCAAATCTCTTCCATGGCTGCTCCTGGCTGGCAGCTGCTATCAGACAGTCCTGCATGTTCCAAACACTGTGGATAAAAGGATGTTCAGTGAATGGTGAAAGGACAAAAAGTGTAGGTTTTGTGTTCTTCCTGCCATCCACCTTCATTTACAGCTTCCGTTCAAATCAGCCCTCCATGAAGAAACCCTGATCTCTTTCCTTTTTGCCTGCCAGCTGCTAAGCACCCAGCTGCCTGCTCTGCAAAGAAAACTCCAGACTTTAGCAGGCCTCATGCTGTGACTGGAACACTCAAGCTCTACCTCTCATCCACAACAGATATCAACCACTCTCCAGCTGTCCAATATATAGGAAGCAAAACTGTATCGAAAAAAAAAAAAGGCTTTTTGTGACATTTTCCCACAATCTTCAAATCCACTTACACTAATGCAAAATATTACAGGCCTAAGCTTGCAATGACTCTTTTGCATAAATTATACAAGTGAGCTCAGTAGATTTCCATCTATGTGAAGAACTGAGCTATTCCCTAATTTGTGCTGTTGCTGACACTTTTTCTTTTTTTCTGAATTCTCTTTCTTTGGTACTGGCACTAGAGTTTACAGTTTTGAAAGAAAGTAAAGATTTCATTAACCTCAAATAGTTTTAAAAAATCAAGGAAGAATTCTGTGCCTGTTCAGCTTGGAAGTGCTACCATTTAGTCTGACAAAGGCACATGTTTCTTATACAATTCTTCTGTGTTATCTATAATTCATGTTCTGTCCTCCTGCACTTGAATAATGGTATATTTTTAAAAGGATCAAGGAAAAGAAGACTATACGTGAAGTTACTCCATGTGGGATGGAAGACCACAGACAGCTTAATCTCTCTCTTAAAGCACTTTCTTTAAATAGAGTTGTTGTCATTCTGAAAGATATCTCGCAAAAAATCATGTTTGTCTTTCCCATCTTACAACAATTTAGCAGTAAACATATGTTAAAAGAATATTACCGCAGTTTGGGACCTTCATATCCATCAAGGCTGTCCGCTTGTTATTGTCATCTACGCAATATATATCCTGAGCTTCTGTGTAAAACTTGGTCTCTTGAAACTTCTTAATCCACATAATTTCACAGGAACACTTGAATGGATTGTCCACCAGTATCCTACAGGAAAGAGAAAAGTATATATATTTAGAAAGCAGAATGTATCACGCATGTAGGAAAAGCTGATAGGCAGAGGGACTCAAAGTACTCAGCTGAGTGAAAGTGGAAAGGTACACACCAAAACCCTCAGTGCAATGTAAGCTACCTACCAAAGCAGATAGCTATTTCCTCACAGAAAACAAAGCTTTGCTTGCATCCAAACTGCTGTAGATCAAAGAGATCACAGAGGGGCTCAGTCACAGTCTCCAATTAATTGATGTAATTCAGGAGACATTAGGCTCCATTCTTGTTGCTTCCAGTTGCTTCCAGTACTTGTGCTTGTATATGCAGAAGACTAACTTCTGAGTATGCAAAATGTTCAAATCATGAAAAGCTCAGGTTTTCAGAGCTGTAACCTGTTCCTTCAAAAGCCTGTTCCTCAAAAGCCATCTGTAATTCTTTGTGGATAAAAAGCTGCAGGGATCATTCTTGCAAACCTCTTAAGGAACAATCTGTAGTCACAGCAGTTATCAGCTGGACTTCCACAGCACTACTGCATAAATAATAATCACTTATGCAGGACAAAATATGAATACTAGGATCTTGGGTCAAAGCCTAAAATGTGCATTTCTCATTTCTCAAATAATACTATTTTTCTTCTGTTTCATTATACAACTTCCATTTAAAAGACAATTTTCCCTCAATCAGTGGCTAAGCATTCCTTTCATCCACTCTTATATCTTGTGTCAAACCCATTAGATGAGTTAGGCATATAATGGGCAGGATGCTGGATAGAAGCATGATGACTCTCCATATATTCTTGTGTGAAATAAAGAATCTAACCTAGTAGAAGGAAATTACATGTCTTTATCTTGTTTGCCGTAATTTTACAGCTGCAGCTACAGCTTGTTCTAAAAGAAGAAACCTTTCAAGGTGGCATTTCCTTCCCTACAGTATCTGGCAAATATCTTCTACATCACCCTTGCCTGAACTTTTCATCCGTTTATGTTTTGATTTACAAGTGTGCTAACAACAAGACACTTCTTTTTCAGATCTAGAGTAACCTTCTCACAGGCAATTTATGGCACATTCTCCTCTCAGAATTCCCTTCCAGCATTCTTATCCTCCCCATTCTAATCTTCCACCTGTATGTTACCTATTTATCAACAGAATTGTTCAACTGATACTGGTTTTATCACCGCTTTTCCATCTTCCAGGCTCTATTTTGTTATCCCCATCTTCTTTCCCTTACATTTCTTATGTCAGCTCAGTTATGAATAAAGCAACATTGACTTCATTCTCCCTCAGAATCTTTGCAAGCGTTTACTCCACATAGAACCTAAAAGAAACTGTTCACCTGAGATGAAGAAGTCCAAGAGTGGTTTGATTTGTGCTTGAGAATAAACCTGTTAATTGCAGCAGACTAACTCCAAGGAAACCCCAACAGAGTTGGAAGCACAGTATGCCTTCAAAGTTGCTGTAATTTCCTTTCGAAGTTACAGCATACCCACCCCTATAGTTCTGCATCCCATGGAAGTAAAGGTGACTCTGTTTCTACATTATCTGCTTAGAAACATTAGGCAGACCCCAAACAAAGCACACTGCACTGGTCCATATCTTTCATCCTATTATTCAAGGCCATGACTACAAAAACACAGAAGCTACAGATATGTACACGCTAACAGTGTCTTTTTGGCAGGGACTTAATAAAAGTGTGAAGCAACAGAAGCTTCAGCAGCAACAGATCTATGGAAGGCATACAGCAATTTCTTCTGCAGCTAGCTAGTCTTTCATCAGTGATCGGCTGTGCTCAGCAACTGCCAAGTTATGAAAGAAAATTCCAATGAGCAATGTTCCTGCACTGTAAAGAAAGAGATTATACCAACTTAATCATCAACAAAACATACCTAAGGGGCATAATCTCCTTTTGCCTCACCGTGATTTACTCACTTCATTTCTCACAGGATGGAGTTCACTAAAAAGGGGTTCAGGATTGCTAAGCCTGCGTTGCAATTCTTGAATTGGCATTTGGGTAATTTCTGACCCTGACCTCTGAGCTCTATGAGAGCAGCCTCCCTCTGCAGTACAGCTCCAACTCTTTCAAAGCTCCTGAATTTCCTCTACAGGGAATTCCTCTTCCATATATTTGCAAAGACTGCACACAGAAACACAATACCAGGCCTGAAAAGTTCTTTCAGAAAAATCAGTAAGGAAAATCATTATTCCAAAGTATTCAAAAGACAGTCTCTGTCTTCCCTATGTCTTATGTCAATATCCCCAGTCCCAAAGTCATTTGCAGACCTCATCTTTTCTGCAAGCCTCAAATATAAGAAAACACTATCTTCCTCAGAGGCAAGTTATGTCCTCTTCTCTCATTTTTTAGCCTTTAAGAATAAAATTTTGGAATGTGCACTAATTCATAATCTCTGCTTGAAAGAGCAGAGCATAAAAATGTAATATTGAAGTGACTGGCAACTACACGTCCATCAGTACTTATTAGCAAATGATTTCTTAAGGCACAATGCAACTCAAAGGGAAAATAAAAACTTTCTTTAATATCCTACTACAACCACAGCAGCTGTAGGGTCAATATATATGGGAATGTAAGACAGATAAATCATTTGACATTTTGTAGATGGCTGTGCTAAACTAACTCAAATGACATTTTCTGTGAATTAACTCAAAAACAATAAAAATATTTCACAGCTGAAGAGGCTTTTTCAACCTGTTTATTTTTTATAAAACATACGTTTGATTCCAGTCAAGCCCTGCAATGAAAATTTTTCTGTATTTAAATCACTGACATCACTGCTTGCTTTGGATCTGAACTTCATTCCAAACCACTGACGGCTGTCTATCTTCTTCAACAGAGCAAACTTTTAAGTCTTGTTCTTCCACTGTAGCCACAAATAAGCTGTATTTTAAGAAATGTCAACTTACAGATCAGACAAACCCAGATGGCGAAAAGGCTTCTTGGACAAACTTGAGAGCTTGTTTCTAGATAAATTGCTATGGGAAAAGAGAAAGATTGCATTAATTAGGATTGCTTCTTCTTAAACTGAAAATAGAGTTTGTCTCTCTTAATGAAATGAAGAAATAAAACCAGTGCTAAAAAGCCTTTATTCCTTTTACTTCAGTTGGAATGAAATTGTGCTCTTTTTACAGCTTGATGGGTTTCAAGCATTTGAATCCAATCTGTATCTGAAGTCAAGTACATTCAAAATCAAAGTCAGCAGGGGACAATATTTTCACTTTTAGCTCTTCTGTTTATTGCAGAAAAGCAGCAGATTTAATTGTGTTTCAAAAGTATTTTGTCAAGTCCAGGTGTTAATTACATGCTCAATTTATTCATAAGTGAAATGGGTGTATCCCTTCCTTTGATGCTGCACCATACTCTGTACTCACACAAACCCTCCTTACATGCTAGCACACATCCACATCAGAGCCTTTTAGTTATTCTTTTCAAATTGCATGTACAATATGCACCCACATGGAAGATCAAAAGGAAAACTGTAAAATGCCTATATTGGGCTTTTTTATGTCAATTAAGCACTTATGGTTTCCAATGGTAATTAAGTGAAAGGTCCTATCACTTTATGCAAAGAAACGTTCATGTGAATCAGAAATACTAACCCCCTTCCCAGGCTTACAAAATTGCTCTCTCCACCCTAACCCAAAATAATGTTGTCCCTCTATTGATTTATCAGTCCACCAATTAAAGACAGTGAGAGCAGTAAGCTGTAAAACTGCCAGCAGTACAGTGCAAATCAGTGTTATGAGCCAAAATACCACACAAGTTTTATGTGGTATTATAAAGGCGCCAAGGGGGCTCCATAGCTATAGCTGCATTGCATTTAAAACCAGGGATTAAACCTTTTTTTCACCCTGACTAAAGAACATAGTATTTAATTCCCAAATTTTCAGTCCTCGATTTCTGAGTACAAGTCAATTTTCAAAGAAATTACAAGAGTGCAAGTTGGATCTTCTACAAAGTTTCATATCAGAATCCTTACAAGATTTTATTTACCATATTTCTTTATTGATTTGTTCCAGCATGCAACCATCTGAAGTTTACAAATTGTGTGGCTCTAATGTTGGAGCACAAAATAGATGAGATACTATTTCAATTGCCAGATGAACTAGCCTGCCCTACTGCTGATGTAGGTGGATGCATCTAATTGTTCCTGATCAAGTAGAATCATAGAATCACAGAATCATTCAGGTTGGAAAAGACCTTAAAGATCATCGAGTACAACCGTAACTAACCATACTAGCCTAACTCACAACCCTCCACTAAATCACATCCCTGAGCAAGTATATATCAAAATTGAAGTACACTTTGCACATATGGCAGAAAACATGTTTGAGTAAAATACACCACTTTGAATTTTTTCCCTAGTAAGCAGAAGCTATATGTTGAAATGCTAAAAAAAGATATACATGGGCTTTTGTCTCCAGCATCAAGGCAACATGGAATATTGAATTTAACCATTCCATGCACAACACTTCACTCACCATGTGGGAAAGCCCCTCTAGTTGTGACACTGCTAAGCAGTACATGTGGATGCCTCCATGGCACTCCCAAATGAGGCAAGTGCCTGTTTTTCCTACCTGCACAGCAACTGAATTCTACCCTTACCAAAGGACAGTCATATATACATGGGCCTCCACTTGCAGGAAGGTGTTCATGCCCTCGCTAGTGGGAGGCAATATACTCCACATCATGTATGGACCAGATTTGGCTCCTGGTTTCCACGTAACACGGGACTTCCACTTCCATTCCAGGAGAACCTAACTATCAGACAGTGGACTCCTCAGGAAAATCTCTGTCCAGCTGAAGCCATTTTGTTTTGCACAAAATGTTCAACAAGGCCAGCTTAGAGAAAACAAAAATATTTTAGTAGCTGTAATTGTTGTTTCAGATTTTTACCAGCTGCACTTGATGCATACCAGAAAAAGGAAGTGAGAAGCAGTACAAAGAGTAACAAAATTAATTTCTGCACCTATATTCCTGGTCATGGGTAGATAAATTTAGTAATTCCAAGACCACAGGGATCACAGGCCTTTAGTCCATATAGTTTAGAGCCTTAACGTTTTTCAAGTTGAGAAGTAATTCAGTAGAAATTTTTCAGGTCACCATTATAGAATTATCATTTTAAAAGACACTTTGACAGTATATTTACTGCTATACATCTTTTTTTCAGGAGCTGAGCACTTTATATTGATTATAAAGATTCCTGCTGTGATCTCTTTAATTCATGTTAAGTGAAAAAATCACTACCAGTGTTATTATGAAGTAGTTAAGGCCTGCACTTCCACTTCCATGGAAGGAGAATATAAATTAGTTCCCCAATTCAACTACACACAAAAAGATCATGGTGAGCAGGAAGATCCATCTGGGGTTCTAAAGCCTTAAAAAATAAAAAGTGTGTTGCAGCACAGAGCTTGGCTCTAAAACTGCACCTAAGAACAGGACCAGAATTCAGTCAAAAAGCATGTCTGTTTTTTACATACAAATATCAAGCTCACTTTAAACTAACTAGCCTTGACAAAACCAAGTTGTGGCAATTCAGGGAGTGCAAGAGCAGCTTGAGAAGCTATGTAAATATGTAGCAAGGTAGCAAGACAGGCACAGCACTTCACAGCAGTATCACTGAGCCGCTTGCCCCACTGCCTTTAGGGCTCCACACAGGGAGAGAAAAGAAATAGGGGGAACAGATCTAAGGAGAAACAGGGAGAAGAGTTAAAGAAGTGGGCATTTTGCTACGCTCAGTCTCCCTCCACAGGCAACTGCATGATCTGCTTACAGCTGGAACCAGCTTTGTATGTGCACATGGGAAAGCTGCCACTGGGTTTCAAACACTTTCATTTGTTTGCATTTCCTAAACCTGGTAGACAAGTAAGCACATCTTATTACCTAGATTTGTATGCATGTAATAAACACACATTTATGCTTCATCAGTGCAATTATACAAAGCCTGGCACATAACCAGAGCTATTTTTCAATATTCCAGGAAATAAACACTTGCTGCAAAATATATTTTTGTGTTTAAAGATATTGACAGAATACCACGGATGTGTATTACACAAGTCCATTAAAATTACTGTTAGTAGCAGGCAAACTTATAAATTACAGAACTGCTACTACTAGTGTTGCTTGTTAAATGTAACTGTTGACTAAATGTGACTAATGTGAGTCCAAGTTCAATGAAAATATCAGAACTAGATAAGCAAGATTATTACCTTCATTTAAATAATATCTATTTGAGCAATTCTCCTTCAGTTGTTTTTCTTTTTTTTTTATATTATTACTCAAGTCTTCTTATCATCCTTACCTCCAGAAAGGTATTTGGCTACAAATGTTTGTCCAAGAAAAGAAGATGACGACAAAAAAGGGCTTAAGGAAATCTCTTAACAGATTCCTTATTATCTCATTTTTCTAGATGACTTGGAAAACAAATGCTGTATTCATATAATAAAGATCTTTAAATATATCAGAAGATTTTTCATGTTAGAAAGAGAAAACTACAGCAGCATCACCAGCAAAATTAAAGCTTATGCAGCTACTTCAGTAAAGTGTTGGCAGCTTTTGTTTTCTTTGTGGGGTAATGGAAAACTGCTGCTTTAAAATAGAAAACTTTTCAAAGGTCTGTGCAGTTTACTCTTGCAAAGTGAAATTACTCCAGCTCTTGATAGATTTCACTGTCCCAACCACAATAGGAACTGCATTTCATTCTCAGTGCAGTCAACATGAGTTTTACTGCTGATGACAAGCACTGATTTGCTGGGGTTTTCAGAAACATTTTAGCATGCATCAAGACTTCCCAGAAAAAATAAATAAGTGCATTTTTTTGCAGGATTAATAGATCAGCCTCAACAAAATATATCACCACACTTACTGTTTTGTGACATGTATATAAAGCAGGTGGTGTCATCTAAAAATTTCCATCTTATCTGGGGTTGCCCTGTTTCTGCTAACATTAGTAATTCCTCACCAAAACAAAATGTAGTATGAGACTGAATAAGCTCCTGGATCACAACATAATTATCTTGAATCAGGATTCCATGTACATCAACCTAACAGATGTCACCCAGTCTAATTTGTTTCTAAAAGGTCATTCCATGAACTACAGATCTCATAAAGCCTGATCACCAATCACTATGTGTTCCATGTTTGCCTGCGTGCTCCAGCTGAAGCTCTTCCTGTGGTTAAAATATTTTGGAGATATCTTATCCACATGTTCTTTCAGTGAATTTTTGCAGTGTCTACCTGTCCATACGGATGGGAAAGACTTCCAAACATTCATCTACCTTGATACAAATTGAACTCATTATTCATCATCCTATGTTCATGGTCATAGAGACAACTGATTACTCTCCTCATTACAATTGCTCTCTTTTTGAAGATAGAGATATATATTCCCTTTCAGTCTTCTCTCTACTGGACTGAACATACTCAGCATCTTAATTTCTTAGAAGATTTCTTTTACAAAATACTCTACTAGTCCTCCCTGTAAGATCTTTCTACACATGTAGATTTTAGTATCCTCATCCTACATTCAGTATACTCATTTTAGTATCATTTAGTATCTAAATAGATGCCTTTCCTGGTCATGGGTACAGATGCCAGGATAGCAGCTACACTAATGGGAAAAATCTAACATTAAGTTCATTTTAATCCCAGACTGAATTTTCTCTGTTCTACTGCATTAAGCTAAGATTCTGTCCCAGCATAGCAACTGAATTGTTCGCAGCTGTGCCTCTTGACCAGTAAGTTCTCATTGCACATTTCCACAGACAGCACACATGCATTGGCTTTATAGAGTTTCATCTTTTGCAATCGTAATTCACTGTGTAATTCCCACATAAGCAGAAGAACAAATTCACTTCAGGAATGTACTTCCTTATATCACCAACTAGTTATAGTAAAAGTTATTCATTAATGACTGTAAGAAATAATATGGTCTTACAGCTAAGCAAAGTCTAGTTCACAGTCTTCAAGTGACAGTAATTATATTTAGGCAGAAACAGATATTCACATCCACTTCCTTATGTAAATTAATTGCTATTCTTTGGAAAACACAGGTGTAAAAAGTGATTTCATTTTATTAGCAAAGCCTTGAGCTTGGTTCAGCAGCTCTTACATATTACATGGAAGTATTTTTGGAAGCCTGCGGGTTGGTCTTCTGTCTTTTTGATCTCATTAGGACCTAACAAAAACAAAGGGTTGAGTAAATGCTAAACATCTAAAGAAGATGGAAGGACTGAAAATATACACTTGAATATTTGATTAAAATAGAGTACCTGTGAGGAACTGAGCCCGACACACAATCTCAACATTTTGTAGTACTGGACCCATGATCTTCCATGTAAGTAGCAAAGTGATCTATTCTTTAGCTGTCCTAGCAAAAAGTTCTACAGTCCTTCACAGGCATGTATGCACATCTAAAGTGTAAGTAAGCTCAAAAAACACAGGCAAAAAACTCCACTGAACACCAATTCAGCTTCCTGAAATTCATGAACCACAAACTGCAGCTGGGTATGAAAGTAATCTCATTCTTATATTCTGCTTTGGCAACATTTGCTTAGATCATGAGTGAGCTTCTGAAGTGAATCTTCTGTTCATCCTCACTTACAGGGCTCTGCTTCACAATCTTGGCACAGTCTATGGGAATGCAAAGTGGTCAATCTACACTTGAAGATATGCTTACCCCATGCATGCAGCTACTGCACTGTAGCTGCTAAAATACATTTGACCCAACGAATCAGGCTAAATCCAGTCAAATCCTTGTCACTGAGTGCAATGCATAGAGGGTGGACAATGTGCCTGCAGCACCAGCTCAGTTCAGCTGAGACAGACACTGTGCTATACTACGTACCAAAAAAGACACTGCCAGAGACCACTGCTAGAGACAGGATAATGAGTTAGACTGTCTTTTCACCAGCCTACATTATGTTCCTATGATCAGCCAGTTCTATATCATACTTGCCCTACACTCTGCGAGTTCCTTACCATACATACCCTACTCAGGTCAATGAATGACAGATGGTCACTATACATCTGTCTCATTATAACATTTTTTATTAAAGAAATGGTAAAAGAGAGAAAGAAATTCACAAGAGTTAGGGTTTGGATTTAAAAGGCAGGTGCTTTTCTTACTCACATGTATTGTAGGTTGGCATTTTTCACAAATGCCTGACGGGACACAAATCTTAAGCCTGAATCCACCACGGTCCTGTGAAAACAGATAAAAATGTTAGAGTAGTCCATTTACAATACAGTGATAAGAACAATGATAATAAATGGCTAAAATGAGAGTGTGGGGGAAATCACTACAAGGCTGAACTGCAAGATGTATCACTGTCCTCTGTAACATATAAAGTCATACTTACACTCTAACGAAGTCTGTACATACTTCCATGAGAGAAATGAGAAATGAGAAAAAGTAATTTTAAAAATATTTTTCCATGTACTCACAGATTTTTAAGTCCAACGTAAAATCCAACTTCATTGTCATTGATACTTTCTAATTTTCTCTGGTTTGCGATGTAACTGTTGAAAAAGCAGGACAGAAAAGAGTATGAGAGTGGTTCCTGTCATGGCTTTGATTGTTCAGAGGCCAAGTATTGAAGCCTGCATGCTTCAGTGGTTGCTGACCTATTGCAACTAACACTAAGCCCTAGTTAGATCTTCTGCAGTGCACAGGTACATCTTAAAATCTTCCCCATTATTTAAATTATACTTTGAGGTCTGGAGGAGAAACAGTTGAGTTTTACAAAGGGAAAATGAAGCAGTGCTCATCAAGGAAGGAAGTCACCCTGAAGGCAATAAATAAATCTGCATCACAATGTCACCCTTTTCCAGGACACTGCTTCCCTACATCATGCATTCTATAGCAGCAAAAGGGTCAGCCATGATGGTGGCAGTGGAGTTAAGCTACTTACATTTGGGGTGGGATCCCTTAGTTTTACTTCCCTTGTATGGTTAGCTTAATCACTTGTTAAACTGATATCCACCTTGTCACAAAGCAGTTTCAATTTTATTCACAAGATGTAGCAATGAGAAAACAAAGGAAAGGGAGGATGCATTGCATGATACTACATAAACAAGAGGAATTTAAGAGAAGAGAAACTGTCGTAGTGGAGCAAAACACTGAGAGTACACTCTCATATGAAGAATAACTATCTGAACCCCCAAAAGCTTGCGGGCATGCAGGATGGTCCTTTGTGTTACTATCATGTGCGAGCTATGATTGTCCAGTGGTATCCTACAGATTTTAAATAAAAATGTTGTCTGTGGAATTATATAAACTGTTAACTCTTCTTCAGCAAGAAAAGAGATTTCACAGCACAAATAAGGCTGTCTAATAGAAAGGGTTAAGTAGAAACTGCAATTCGTTTACCTTCACGGGCTGAAAAATAACTCTGATGTACAAAACGTCCCTTCTAAAAAGTCCATACATTTCAAAAGATAACACCAGTCATGAAGAAACCCAGAAATGCACTTGTACTTTCATAAACATCCAGAACTAATCAAAGCCACAGGTTTGCTTATAAGGTTAAAGTGTTTCTTTGATAGAATAAAAATTGTTTTCACTTTAAGAATTTTTTTCCTATTTAATGAGAATTCTGATGAAGTGGAAAGAGTATTGCTTTCCCAAAATCAACTAATCTACTTTAGCTGGTACGTAAAAGAAGTATGTTGTGTGCCCACATCCCAACAAAAGCCTGAGAATCCCAAGAGTTGGGCTGGGCTCTCCTCCAAGCTATAAAGCTGACTTGGGCTATACTCTTGCCAAATGCCAGGGAAAGCAAAAAAGCTTTCCTTAATGGCATTCACTGTCTCTTGGGAAAAAAAGAAAAGCAGTGAAATGGCACTAGACATCACTAGTGTGACACTAGACAAAACACATTATCACTGCATCATACGACAATGAGCGCTCTGCGGGTCTTCATAGGCTAAAACTGGCCATTACAAGACTGTGGCTTACTTTGCATTTTGTGCATGCTTCCCCGAATTTTTAAAGGCAATCTGATCTCACCTCTAAGGATTTGTTAATCTATTTTGTTAGTGGTGGTAGTTGGGAAATTTATATATTTTGCCAAGTAAAAACAACAGAATTGTTTATTAAAGACCCCCAGTTCATCTATCTGAGTACTGCAGGGGGGTGCATCTGGACCTCCCTTGTTCATTATTCAATCTTCTCTGTGACTTGGACCTTATCATGCCAAAAAGAAGTTATGCAAGGGATGTCTAAGATATCTTCCTCATCCTGTCCTCAGTGTTCAACCAATGAGAACCCTGCTGAGACCAGACAGAGACAGAGAAAACATAAGAGAAATGAAATAAAGGAAAACAGACAGGGAAACACAGGAAGAAGGTACTCAGAGAAATATAAGAAAATAATCTGATGGACCAATTGCACTAGCTGAAGATTAAGCCGTCAAAAAAAGCTCTGACAACCACTGCCATAACACACATCCATCTCTTAAACATATTTATCACACATCTGCATTTGACATCACAATTTTAATCATAAAAGCATTGAACAAGAACCTCCCACTAGGACAAGCTACAGAATTCTGACATAACTTACAGAGTTGCATAGAAATATATTAGTGTATTACATTCTGTGGTAAACCTCAGCCTATGTAAAACAGCTCAGCTGTGCTGCAGTGAGAGAAGCCACCACAATTTGCATCAGACAAAGATCCAAACGCACAGTCTATTAAAATAAATCAGTGTCAGTCTGCTAGGGAACAAACTAAAGGAACGGCATTTGGGAGGAAGAAGCAATAAAAATTCACAGCCTTTTCTCGTCTATCTTTCTCTTGCTGTGCAAAGAAGGGACGTTCTTTACTCTCATTTTAGCCTCTTTATGGTGGATATAGCAAATGACTTATGATTCCAGTTTCTCACTAACTTGAAGAATCCCAAAAAACTCAAAACCATTGACTCTGCATAACTGCACTTCAAGTGAAGACTGAGAAGAAATTCTGACTAACTCAGAAAAATAGCTGCTGTGTGTTAAAACACCCTCCATACAGTAAAAGGCAGCAAAACACATTTCATACCACTAGAAAACCTTGCAGAGTGGACAGATGTAATTTACCATAAGCAAGGGCTCTTAAGCTTCCTCACTTGCTTAGCAAGACTGTTTTAAGTTAAGCTTCTGCAGTTTTTTCATAGCACTGAGAAAGAACAAAGTCCAATGACTAGCTGTACACTTTCAGGGGAAGTTCTGTTTAATTTAGAGGGAGGTTCGAAATAAAACCTCTTCTCTAACTGAAGTCTATTTTTACCTTCTTCACAACTACTCTACCTTGATGCTACTTATCATCAAACATTAATACTCTAAAAGCTCTGTCTTGCAGTGGGCGGCGCTGAGAAATGTAATTTGCCTGCATGTCCTTAAGAACATCCACCCTGTTCTTTAACTGAAGGTTTTTATTGTAGCAGAGAAGAAAAACATCCTGACTCACTGCTGGCTGAAGTCACATGAGGGGCTTGGAAGCTTCCCCTGCACACCACAGCAAAGTGCAGCACCACCAAAACCTGGCTGGATAGCACCCAATGGGATGGTGTAAGGCACCTCGCAAATACCAGCCACTGCCTCTAAGCCAAACCCTCTGCTGTCCGCAACGCTACTCACTTGATTATACCATAGCATTCTGTATCTACTTCAGTGAGTCATCAGTAAACAGTATCTGGTTTTAGACCTTTAATTTCATCTCCCCTTTGTAAACTACTGATTAATTCTAATAAAGGCATTCAGAATCATAAACCTACTGACTGCATATTGCAAACTACAACAGTATGTTCATTTCAGCATGCTTCAACAGCTATTGAACACTATACAGTTCAATACAGTACACTACAATAGTACATGTATATGTAAATGTATAGTACAATACAGTATACTATACACAGCTATAGTATCACACACTTTACTCTTTCCGTAACCTTCTGGAGAGGATATTTTGAAATCCCATAGTGAAAGAGTTAGCTCTTCCATACTCTTTTCAGGAGGGCCAGCTCTTCATTTCTGCTTTTTACATATATGAAAGACTGCATATTGCATTTGCACGAAGTCAGCAGAGCCACAACTGAACTATGATAGCATGGAGAAACATGTTCTGCACTTTAAATCAATTCAACTTCCTTTGTGCTTCAGCAGCTCATAAAACTATTAAACTTAGAAATGACTTTCAAAGACTTTCTTTTTTAAATTGAAAAGAAAAAAAATCGGCCAGCAGAATTATATCCCTTTAAATTATATGATTGACTCTATTTCCTCTGTGCTAACATACATTAATATATACTACTCCATTTAGAGCTGCAAGGGCATGCTGGATAACTCAGCACACACCAGCCTGAACAACATAGATGTAAGCATATAAGACTGTAATTGGGCTCCAGAAGTACTGCTGCCAGGAAGCTCCCTTTATGGGAAATGTATTTTCTTAACACACTGAAAAATAAACCAACGATATGTTTAGTCCTGATTCATATAGATGGTTAAAAAAAATAATCAATAAACATTCCCTAGTGAAATGGAATGTTTCTGAACTTTGGGAAAACTTCATACTCTAAGTTATTTTTTGATGTAGTCTTTAAGGAGAAAGGCAGCACACTCCAAACACTGGACTAACGTAGATGAATTACTATTTAATGACATGTCATGGATGTCCCTAATCTACATTACTGTGAGAGTTGTACGTAACATCCAAAATTAAACACTGCAAAGTTCTCTACTGCTGTATTTTCTTACAACTCAAATGTCAAAACAAGTTCATCAAAAGGTATAGTAAAACTTTCAGAAACTTTCAGCACACCTGGGCTGATTTATGATTATGCATCGAAATCATGCAAAATTTGTAAGCTTGACACAAAACTTGATGGAACTTGGCAGATTCAAATGGATTTCATTTGTAGCCCCTCTGAAATCAAACTTAAAATAATGCTCGAGGGGTGTGAACTCACATAGTTTGAAAATGAAGCATAGAGCTACACAATGCTGTGTACAAGGAATGCCAGGTTTCAGGCAGATGCAGGGACCAATGATATAATCTTTACTCAAGCAAGAAATATTTACACATAGAACCAAGCTCCCCACAGAAGAGAAATTCTGACAGCATGCAATGAGTACAGTGCAGATACCCACAAACTGAAACTTCTCTACAAATAAGCTGAATTTTATACCAGTTTTTTACTGGTTCCACTGTCCTCATCTGCTGTCATCAGTGCCAGATTTCATTAGGCCAATCTCAAGAACTTTGATGGCTGGAAAAGCATGCCCCAACTCGGGGAAGAAGTGCAGTGTCCAGTTAGTCCACCACAGATCTATCAAGAATTCAGTAATTTTACAAACAAGTGCTTGACTCCTTGGCTGTCAGGTGTCTTCTGACAAATTCTGAGCAAATGCTGTGGTGATTGGTGGTTTGTTGTGTTTTTGTTTTGTTTTGTTTTGTTCTTTTAACTGTGAATCACCTTATATTTCATGAAGAATGGAAATGCAACTATCACAGGCTCTTTAAAAGTCATCCTTTAGG